CCCCAAAACCCCAAAACCCCAAAACCCCAAAACCCCAAATTTTTCTGAATAATTGAATTATTTTCAGCCAAGAATGTCTGCAATTCATAAAGAAATAGCTCAAAGATGAGCTAGAAGGATTCTTGATAGTGAAATATTGATATATTTCCTCGGAAACGGGATAAACATAGATATTGGAGCGCCTGAAATACGCTGTATGCTCATTTATAATTTTATAGCTTATGATGACTTCTGGAAGGAATACCCTGTTTTTGAGAAAAACAAACTTTATAGGGCAGATGTGCTCAGCCATGACTTTTGTCAGAAATCTCCTGAGCTATTTTGGTACTACTTTGGCAAGGAATATCATACTTATAAGTAAATTTTCAAGTGAATTTTAGAAACATGAAGCCAAATGAGTGATACTTCAAGATGCTCCAGATTGCAGAAGGACTGAAGAGGGATAATTATTATGTCTTCACTACTAATTATGACGAACATGTATTAGAAGAAGGATTCCCTGAGGATAGAGTATTCGAAGCTCATGGAAACATCAACACCTTGCAGTGATAAACGTAATTCTTTGGATAACCTGTAGAGCACTCCTGAGTGAGATGATCTGACTAAGGTTCCCTTCGAGGCACAGTATGGTCGTGTTCTCATTTATAGATTTTACCTTAATGAAGAGGAATCTAGGTGCGAGAATTTATTAGGATGTCCCAAGTGAAAAAGCTATTTAAGACCAAATGTAGTCCTGACTAAGGACACCAAGTTTAATGTCAAAGAATACATGAAGAAAAAGGACAAATTTGACTCTTTTCTGCTTGAGAATATTCATAAGAAAATAGCAGTCGTGGAAATTGGAGTTGGTGTTTTTGGAAAAACAGCCAGAGTTGTGGGAGACAGTTTGCTCAAAAATGCAAAGAATTTGAGCTATATGATCATTAATCCAAGAGGACGGTATGCTTTAAAGTTGATTTTAGGGAATACCGAACACTTCGAAATATGATTGAGAAGGGGGAGGATATTAAATCGGATACAATAGATACAATGATGAACCATGATGACCTGCCGACTCATCTGAAAGCAGAGATCGAGTTTTATCAAAGCATAAGGAACGAAGTTATCAAGTTTCCTGTTGGAGCAAATGAAGGAATCAGTATGATCCATTCAGAGATTAAAAACTTAGTGTATTCAGAATAAATAAATGGCTGAGATAATTTATGGGGTTTTGGGGTTTTGGGGTTTTGGGGTTTTGGGGTTTTGGGG